GGACAGCGCCCAAGCCCAGAGTTCAAGCCCCATGACTGACAAAGACAAAACAAAACTAAAATTTTAGGAATGAAAACTGAAATGTTTGAAATAATACAAGGATACTATTGACCACAAACTAGATATCACAGAAGAAAAGATGAAGAACTTGAAAAGTTAGAAATAGAAACTATCCAAAAATTTAAAGAAAATACTTAAAAAAATGCTGAACATCACACCAGTAAGCAAAGGGACAATTTAAAGTGGCCTGATACAGTAATAATTACCTTTTCCCGGATTCCCAGATAGATTTTTATCTTCAAGATATCCTTAAAACTATTAAATGTATTCCCTATGATAATTCCAGATTTTATTAGAATACACTGTCCTTAGAACCTGTAGTATAAATTCTTGCATTTTAAAACCCATGTAGTATCCCATTTGTCTTAATTTTTCTTTTTGTTGCTCCACTACCCTTTCTTACCTTCTTATCTTCCTTCCTTCCTTCCTTCTTTCCTTCCTTCCTTTCCCTTCCTTTCCCTTCTTCCTTTCTTTCCTTCCTTTCCTTTCTTTTCTCCTTCCTTCCATCTTCACTTCCCTCTTTCCTTCCTTTCACTTCCCTTCCTTTCTCATTTTTTCCTTTCTTCTCTCTTTCTTTTCCTTCCTTCCTTCCTTCCTTCCTTCCTTTTTTTCTCTTCCTTTCCTTGGTGTTACTGGGACTTGAACTTAGCAAAATAGACACTCTATTGTGGAACCATACCTCCTGTTCCGTTTGGCATTTATAATTTTTGGAAAAGGGTTTTATTTCTTTCACCAGCTGTCAATCATCTAGATATTAACCTATTTTAGGCTTTGTGCTATAGCTATGATGACAGCTATATGTGTGTCATCTTCTTCCACTGAGGTCTGGTCTCATGGAAGTTTTTGTCTGAGGTGGTCTGATACCGTGATCTACCCAAACTCATTCTCTTATAATACTGAAATGACAGGCGTACGGTCCTGCACCCAACTATTGGTTGAGAGGGAGGGCTTGTGAACTGTGATTTTATTTGGTTTTGTTTGTCTAGGCTGCCTTTGAAATATGATCTTCTTCTTCCCAACCTCCCAAGTCTCTAGGATTACAATCAAGGACAACTTGGTCATATGATAATTTGAATAAATAGACATGGGCAAATCTTTCCATTTTAGTTTCAGAAAAATGAGAAAGATTGGAGAAAACCAAAATAGCAATATTTGTGTGTCTGCTGCTTATGTTTGGCACACTATTTATTGCTTGCTTCTGTAATGACTTCATGTTAGTTCTCCACAATTCCTTAAAAATCTTTCATTTCTGTTTTGTAACTTGATTTTATACTTGACGTCTTCTTATACAAATCGGTTTCCTTATCCAATAGCCTCCTTTTATTCATAGGGGATACATTCCAAGACCACCAGTGGATGCCCAGAACTGCAGCTAGCACCAAATCATACATATGCTAGATTGTTTTCCTATAGCTACATACAGACCTATGATAAAATGTATTAATTAGGTACAATATAAAGATCACAACAGTAGCAACAATATACTGTAAGGAAACTTGAATGCTCAGGCTTACCACTAGGAAGGCTACTAAGAGACAAATGGGTAAGTGGTATTCATAGGGTGGGTATATGGTTGCAGGGATAATTGACATCCTTGGTAAGATGAAAGAGGCTACACAGGAGTTCATCAAAAGTGAGAATATTGCAAATTTTATAAATTATGAAGGTTTTTTTTTTCTGGAAGTTTCCATTTGATATTTTTGAACTGCCCTTGAGCACAGGTAACTGAAACTTTGGACACAGATTATGAATAAAGAGGAACTATGGTAAACTCAGTGCACAGCGCATGCGAGGATTTTTCTTTGGGGAGAGAGTTTGCTTTCTCCTGCAGCATATTTTTTCCATTGATCATTTACATCTACTTATTTTTCATATTTTTTTCATTTATTTTGGGCTGAAATATTTTTTTCTGTCTTATGCTAGTCTATATTTTATTTTCTGTTAATGTTTTCCTTTCTGTTTCTCATTTTACTTAAATGGAAAAATTTGTCCAAGATAGTTCAATGTGAACTGTAAAGTGACCAACTTCTCACTATTTTCTTGCCTTCTTCTCTTACTTTATAATTTAAGGATTAGCAAAGATGGCCTGTGGACAAATAGCTTGCTGAGTATTTTGTAGCTATATCAAACCACAGCCAGGCTCATTCCTTTACTCCTTGTCACTGGCTGCCTTATGTGCAGTTGCAGAACTGGGCAGCTAAGATAAATCATAACAACTTGGCAAGTTTAAATTGCTATAGAAAAGTTTTCTGACCATTGAAGTATGATAAAGAAAATATTTTGTAGCTGGAGATTCTTTAGACTGGCTTGTTTTTCTTGTTGCATTTTATTAAAGGTATTTGTCTGGGTTTATTTCAGCTTGGGCTGCTCTACCAGGGTAGCATCATCCCTTGGTATCCATGGAAGATTGGTTTTGAAATTCACATGGATACCCAAATCTGCAGAGGCCCAGGTCTCCTATATTAAATGACAGTATTTCCCTATAGCTTACATTCTCCTACATACTGTAAATCATGACTAGATTTCGTATAAAACCTAATACAGTATAAACCTTATGTAAAGAGTTGTTATACTGTATTGCTTAGGCAACAATATTGTTACACTATATTGTTAAGGACAATCTTTGCCCATTTACAGATGCAAATTTTAAAATCAATCAGTTGAGTCCACACATATGAAACTCAATGTATTATAAAGTGGTTGACTGTATTATAAAGTGGTTGGCTTATAAACAACAAAAAATTATTTCTCATAGTTCTGGAGGCTGGAAGTCTAAGATGAGGTCTCATTATTTTTGAATTCTGTTAAGGGACCTTTTGATCTATCTATCTATCTATCTATCTATCTATCTGTCTGTCTGTCTGTCTATCTAGCAGAGACAGTGTGCTGGCTCTTTGGATTCCAGTTTGTAAAGTCACTAATCCTTTGCATGAGGCCTCTACCCTCATGACCGAATTTCTTCTCATATGCCTACCTTGAGAGGCCATCAGCTTGTGGGGCAGGCTGTGAACCTATGAATTTTAAGGGGGCACACACAACACCTCATAATGTTAAGCATGTACTCTTCCAGTCCTAGGATTCGATTGATCATGTCCACTTCTTCCTCTACTCTGCTCTGCCTCTGGAGCTTTTGCTACTCCTGAGGAGAGGCATGCGTTCTCATTTCTTATTCAGGCATTAGTTATGTTTACTCCCTAAGGGCTGACAGGTGTACCAGATGTGGATTCGGCTTTGGCTCTCTTATTGAGAACCTTGGCGTTCACCTGTGCTGTCCATCCGGGACTCTGGGCCTAGCCCCTTCCTTCACCTGAAAGTGCCTCGGATTTTACTGCGTTATTTCCTAAGGAGGATGGGTCTTCTCTTTCGCTGAAGATTTCTGCTTCACCAGTTCCCCTTCACCAAATCGCCTTAATACTGCTAAAAAGTCAGCATTATCAGCTTCCTAGGACCTCAGATTCTGCTCCTTACACGAGATTTAGGCTTTGGCGTTCACTGCGAAATTCGGTCTCTTCTTTCTCTCCCTGCATTTCTCCAGGTGCACAGATTAGATTCCTAAGAAATGAGAATTTGAGACCAGCCTTTCCTCTTCCGACTACATAACGATTGCATAATGGTTCTTTAGAAAATGACAAGATGCACATCCAGCTCTCTGTTTCCTACTTTCGCAACTACTGCCGCTCGTTTCACTCGGCTACCTAGCCGGAAAGCACAACAAGCTTTCCCAGGCGCAGGCACAGCGGGCACATGAAGGGCGGGGCACCTATCGGGGAAGGGAGGGGGCGGAGCTAGCACTGCGCATGCGCCCCGTGGGCGCACTCGACAGGGTGGGAGGGGCGTCATCCAGCTGCGCCTGCGCCCTGGGGCCTCGGGCTCGGGGGCAGTTGGAATTCCTGCCTGCTGCGCTCGGCGGGATGGTGCCGCGGTGCCAGGTAAGGGTCTCGGGGGCGGCGAGCCGGCCCGGGCGCCCCTCTCTCTGCAGATCCCGCCCAGCTCCGCAGATCCCGCCCAGCTCCGCAGATCTCCCGACCCTCCGCCCGCCCTCCCAGCCTGGCCGGGCCGGGCCGTGCGGCTGTGCCCCAGCGGGGACTCTGCCGGTGATCTACTGCGTCCTCCTGTGACGCGGAGCCAACCTGCCCGGTGCTACACTTGGGGTCCGGGGCGGGGGCAACTCCGGGGGTCCCGGCCCCCGCGTCCCGCGGAAGGACTCTCAGTTTATTCGCTGTAATGAAAGATGTTATTAAGCGTTCCTGCGAAGAAATATCCGCCACCTCTGAGCCGCCGCCGCCTGGGTTGGGCGCGGGCCTGTGCTTATTCCGAGGGGTCCATCGTACGTGGTGGCCGCGGACCCGTGCACCTGCTGGGTGCAGTTCGCAGGCCGACTGCCCGGGTTTACCTTGGATGTACCGGTCTACCCTGTATTTCCAAGCCGGTGCTGTTGCCCACGTCAGCAACAGTATGTTGCCTCACTTCACCCCAGGCAAAGGCCATCCGGCAACTCTGAAAACAAGCCACTGGCTACTGTGGCCATTTATCTGTGCAATTCATTCAGACCCCGACAGTTGCCCACTGCGTGCAGATGTGCACAAGACGTAATGATAGTGTATCAATGCAAGACAGATTGACCATGTTTTCTACGGAGACAGACGAGATTTTAATCTTGACACCTAAATTTGTAAAACGAAAAAACCAAAAACCAAAACCCCCAAACACATGCGGAATGAATCTGGCGTGTGTGTTCAACTGGAATATAGATTGGAGTTTCTTTTGTAAGCAACTTAATTTTTTTCTGTCACCAACTTTGTCTTTAATTAAAATATTGGAAAATGAGAAAACTTGGTGTGGGCAGTCAGAAAAGAACTATGCATTATTATTATTATTACTATTATAAAAGGCATTTTCCTCTTTTCAGGTGGAAGTATTATATTTTGCAAAAAGTGCTGAAATAACTGGCATTCGTTCAGAGACTCTTTCTGTGCCTCAAGAAATCAAAGCATCTCAGCTGTGGAAAGAGATAGAAGCTCATCATCCTGGGTAAGTGAGGATTGGTACTTTACATATGATGAACACTTTGAACACTTTTTAATATTAAAAAATGTGTAAATGATCAAAGTAAAGCTGAGGTTAACTTTAGCATCTTTAACTCTCATTTTCTGCATGAGAAGAAAGCCATGTTTGCTCTATTTCTTCCTAATTTAACTGAAATCCTTGCTAAAACTTTTAAAAAGATTAATTTTGATTTCCATGCTTAATGTTAAAAAGGGTTGTTAGCTATAATTTTCTGGTACCACTCCTCAAATCATAAACTCTAGTTTTTATGTGCCAAATTCATAGAGAACATTACAAATCACTTACTAAAAAGACTGTCAACTGAGATGACACCCAGATAAACATGGTTATGTCACTACAATGACTTTCATAGTTTGTAAGATATTGAAAATATAGGTTGCATTTCCTTCTCTTTTTAGAACCCTAAGGATAGAAGTCTTTAGGATTAAAACAAAAATGAGCTACAAAACCCTGAACTTGAGTACGATTTTAATTTTTTTCTCTCTGGTTCTTGAAAATCTATTATTTTACTGCAGTCATTCTTGTCCCCAACTCTGTTTACAACAAAATGTAAGAGAGTTTTCCAGAAATATTGTCAGTTAAGTTTGTAGTTGTTTAATCTGGAATTTTAGTGTTGTCCAGAAAGACTCCACAAAATGTGCTCCAAAGGAAACTCCTATTCTTGACAAATTGTTTTTGAAGTGTCCTGCCAGGCAGTGAAAACTTGGGAGTGTGGGGAGAACATGTCTATTTGTTACTTTTAATCTACTTATTGTACTTAGAAGACCCATGAAAATGCCATGTACTGGTTAGAAAATAATTATTTTCTTTTGGCCTAATTTGAATGTTGCCTTTAGTCTAATTTTCATGTCTGTTTTCTAAAATATACAACACTTAGTACAGTAAAGAGTAATGAGCAGTTAATATATTCTTTGCAATGCGTACTTGTGACCTTTGCCCACACAGAGTGTTGACGGGTGATACTTCATAACATCTTTTATTAATACTAAACATTTTTAGATATCTGTTACACACTGAAACTGCTAATCAAACCTTTTACTCTTCAGATTGGCTGATGTTAGAAATCAGGTGATATTTGCTGTTCGTCAAGAATATGTCGAGCTCGGAGATCAGCTCCTCCTGCTTCAACCAGGAGATGAGATCGCCATCATCCCCCCCATTAGTGGAGGGTAGCACTGTTGAACAATCTAGGTATTGAGATTGGTTTTTCTTCTTAACCAGACTGAAGGAAGAGGAGCATGCAGATGATAACTTGTATGTAGTTTGCCTTCCTGTAAATTCTCCGTAAGTCTGTCTGTACTGTTTCTCTCCTTCTGACGTAGTAGCTCTTGCTTGATGTAGAGACAGTGATAGACACCAACCTCTTACCTCTGCTTCAACTCTACTGTAAGCAGTTTAATATCACCTTGATATCTTTATTATACTCCAACATGGCTTATTATACAGAACTGGACTTTGGAGTGTTAATATCCACATTTTCCTGTTAGGAAAACTAAAGCTGCATGAAGTAATAAATCAAGCCCAAAACTTGCTTTTGTGGAGGTTTATAATGTAATTCCAGCTACTTTTAAGGTAGAGGTAGAAGGATCAAATATTCAGGTTCAGCCTGTGCAAAGTTAGGGAGACTGTACCTCACATACAAAAACACAAACAGAAGGACTGTGACATAGCTTACATAGTAAAGCACTAGCTTAGCATGTGGTAAGCCCTCAGTTCAGTCTTAACATCTCAAGAAAACAAACAACAACAACCAAACAAAAGTAAATAAACAAGAAAAGGGAGTGGTAGAGCTGACATTTAAATAGATATTATTGGATTTTGCCTCCTTTTTTTTTTTTTTTGGTCGGTCATGGGGCTTGAACTCTGGGTCTGGGTGCTGTCCTTCAGCTCTTCAGCTCAAGGCTAGCGCTCTACCACTTGAGCCACAGTATCACTTCTGGTTTTCTGAGTGGTTTATTGGAGATAAGAGTCTCATGGCCTTTTCTACCTGGGCTGGCTTTGAACTGCAATCCTCAGATCTCAGTTCCTGAGTAGCTAGGATTACAGGCATGAACTACTGGTGCCGGTGCTTTTTTTTTATTACTACTACTAAATATTAGCTTTTTTTGACAATGTAGAGAATTACACAACTAGAAAGCCAGATCTGAAAATAAAACTGAGTTGTAAAGGAATGACTGTTACTGTGGCTTTGTGAGTCATTCCATTTTTCTTCTTTTTCTAAGCAGCCCAGACCATATTGGATAGAGTTGGATCATGCTTAAGAATATTGTTCAGTACGGTTTGGAGAGAGCATATTTCTCTTAACTTTAGTGCCATCTAAACAAAAAGTCTTATGTAGGTAATGAAATGTCTGGTAGGATTTTTTTTCCTAAAACCGATAACACATATCATACTCAGTGGCAAAACTGTGGCTCTATTAAAGACAGGAATGAGCCAAGGATTCTGTTCATTTTTCTCACCCCACTTACTCGCAGAGCAGTGCCCCTTCAAATGAAGAACAGACCCGTTCAGCAGGATTGCTGGGACTCCACATTTAGAGGGCCTTGCTCAGGGCTACCACCTGGAGGCAGGAGAATTCTTTAATACAACAATTCTTTGGAAAGGTTAGAAAGATTACCCAGTAGCATTATTTAAGTGTGTTTGTGAGGTTTGTGTTAAGTCATTTTAGAAGCTGCCAGCTAGGTTTAGTAGTCTTGTACAGTCAGAAATAATGGAACTCTGTGGTTTGAAGCACCGAGAGTCCATTTGGGTTATCTGTGTCTCAGTGCAATAAAATGTCATAGAAGAATTACAGATGGCATGAAGGAGGTCAAAAATCCTGGAATAATAAATAAATAATAAATAATAAATGAATAATTGTGCTTGTCTTTCCAGTAGACGGAAGGATATAGGGGAACAAACATTTGAGTTTATTAAGAATTCTTTTTGTAATTTCAGCACATTGAATGAATCCTTAACAGTTTCTCTGAGCTTATATCATTCATTTTTCAATTCAGATGAAACCTCCCAGGATTTATGATAATAAAACTTCTGGCCTGCAAAGGCCTCCCTCCCTGCTGCATCTCTGCTTGACTGGGCTGCATCTCTTGCTAGGTTCTGAACACATCACACTCTTTCTTTCCCTGGAGTCTTCACATTTGCCACTCCCCTTTGTCTACTTGTGACTCTATTCCCATTTCTCCATGTTACTTTGTCTTTCAAGTCTCAGCTTTAAATACTATCTCTGGAGAGAGACCTTTGGTCTCCCCTCATGCATCATGTCCTGTTACAGACTCTTGCTGATTGACATCAGCTACCCCTGCTTGTGATTCTTTGTTACTGGTCTGTTTCTTCCATTCAAATTCAATCAGTACTTTGAAAAACAGGAGTCAAAGCAAAGGAGGAAGTAACAATGCTTGATAGGAAATGTACTCATTACCTTACTCATGTAACTATAATCCTTCTGTACAGTATTTCTACAATTAAAAAAATATATATATAAAAGAAAAACAGGAGCCTCTGCTCTTGTTCCCGTTTGATGAATTGGATGAGAAATGCAAAGTAAAAGATGACACAATGCCTGGGGAATAGATGCGCAGATCCCTTATTGCGTCTGTAACTTAACTAGCTTGTGGCAGGTTGTGAAGGGATATTGGTTCCTGTGGACTCTCCATCACTTCTGCTCTCCCTCTCTTATTTTTTGGATAAAGGAAAAGGTGTTCTAGGAATGGAGCATGGTTACATGGTGGTGAGAGGTGAAGTATACATGTAGATGAAAGTGATGATACCTGCTACACTGTGCTAAGAGATAGGAATGGCAGTGCTAGAATCGACACAGGAGATAGATTACAGTTTGGTAACTGACTTTGATCATGTTGCCTTCATATATATCTATAATGCCTGATTCATCAGAGATATTTATGGCTATACCAGTTTGCTAAAACTGTACACTTGCTTATTTTATCCTTCAGATCAAATCCTCCCTCCTAACACGTTTAGCATAGAATAATGTAAATGGAAACAGCTTCTATATTGAACATTTGCCTGTAGAATTTCTCTTAAGGTTTATTAATACCCTATTTCTAGGAAAGAAGTGGATGAAGTTGAAGAGAAACCTAAAGATATAATAAAGTTCACTGCTGAGAAACTTGCAGTAGAAGAAGTCTCACGCCTTGTGATCTCTCCCCTTTGTGGTGCGATATCTCTTTTTGTAGGTGAGTTCTAAATTCCTCGCAGTTACTGGCTGTACAAGAGTAGCAATTACTGCAGGGCACTGGTGATTCTCACTTGCAATCCTAGCTACTCAGGAAGCTGAGATCTTCCACCCTGGGTAAATAAATCCATACTACTCTTACTCCAATTAAGCAGTAAAAAGCCCAAAGTGGAAGCATTGCTCAAGTGACAGCAGTTTAGCCCTGAGTGAAAAAGCCAAGTGAAAGCATGCTCCAGTACTGGCACACCTGGGCATAGTCCCTGAGCTTCTTTTGCTCAAGGCTAACACTCGACCACTTGAACCACTTCTGGCTTTTTCTGTTTATGTGATACTGAGGAATGGAACCCAGGGCTTCATGCATGCTAGGTAAGCAATCTATCAGTAAGTTACATTCCCAGCCCATATTATTCCTTCTGATAGGTTAATGAAATTCTATTGTGGTCTCTGTGTGTATGCATAATATATAATATGTATATTTATAAATTTATAAATTTACATATAGATATAGATAGATGTGATCTCTCTATATTATATATACATATATGTATATATATATATATATATATATATATATATTCTTAATCCATTTGCCTATTGTAGGACATCTATTTCCATAATTTGGGTATGGTGACTAGTGCAGCAATGAACAGGTACCTTTACTGTAGTTTGACTTATGAATATTGAGGGAAAATATTCTTGATGATAATGCCAAGAACGTGAACATTTTTATTATTATTTTTATTTATTTGTTGTTAATGTGATATAAAGAGAGATTTCAGTTTTATACGTAAGGTAATGAGTACATTTCTTGTTAAAGTTGTTACCCCTTCCCTCAATTTTCTCTTACTTTCCCTCCCCCCGATCTCCCCCAAGGTTTACACAGTATTTCTAACATATTGTCTTGTGTATATCGCTGTTGTATTGGTTTCCCCTTTGTCCTTTGTCTCATCATTTTGTTGTTTCCCTTCCCTAGTTCAGATAAACGTATATACAATACCAGGGTACCAAAATCAAACACAGTAACAACAGAGGATATACTATAGGGGGAAAAACATACAAAAGAAAGAAAATTACATTAAAAACAACATCAACAAAGATAAGCTTTTTGTGTCCATGTTTTAGAGTTCATTTCCCTTAGCATCATCTTACATGGTCATATGTTCATAGCTATCGTGCTATTCTGCTCATCTGCTAAGATTATCCTAGAAGTAAACTAATTATTTCAAATAAACCATAAGACCTCAGTTTCTTTGGTTCTGCTTACTTCACTTAATATGATTTTTTTCCCCAGTCTTTCCATTTCCTTACAAATGGGGCAGTGCCATTCTTTCTGATGGGAGCATAGAATTCCATTGTATATATAACCCACATTTTCTTGATCCCTTCATCTATTGAGGGACATCTGGGTTAGTACCATGTCTTGTCTATGGAGAATAATGCTGTGATAAACATAGTTGTGCTGGTAGCTTTAATAAAAATTTGTGATCGTTTGGATAAATGCCCAGAAGTGGGATTACTGGGTCATAGGGGAGCTCGATGTGGAGTCTTTTGAGGAACCTCCATACTCCTTTCCAGAGTGGTTGAACAAGTTTACCTCCCACCAACAATGCAGTAGGGTTCTCTTTTGACCACATCCCCTCCAGCATCTGTTGTTATTAAATCTCTTGATTATAGCCATTCTAACTGGGAGGAGGTGGAATCTCAATGTTGTTTTGATTTGTATTTCTTTTATGGCTAGAGAGGTTGAACATTTCTTCATGTGTCAATTGGCCATTCTTATTTCCTCTTCAGAGAAGTCTCTCTTTAAGCCTTTAGTCCACTTATTAATTGGGCTGTTGTTTCCTTGAGGATTTGTTGTTGGGGGATTTAATTTTTTATTTATTTATTTATTTTTGGGTCCGGTCATGGGGCCTGAACTCTGGGCCTGGGCGCTGTCCCTCAGCTCTTCAGCTCAAGGCTAGCGCTCTACCACTTGAGCCATAGCGCCACTTCCGGCTTTTTTCTTTTTGCTATGTGGTACTGAGAATTGAACCCAGGGCCTCATGCATGCAAGGCAAGTGCTCTACCACTGAGCCACCTTCCCAGCCATGGGATTTAATTTTTTGAGTTCCACGTATATTTTAGATATAAGACCCTTGTCTGTTGTATGGCTAGTGAAGATCTTCTCCCAATCTATGGGCTTTTTATTGATCTTGCTAGCTATGTCCTTTGCCATGCAGAAGCTCTGCAATTTCATGCAATTCCATTTGTCTAACCTTTCTTTGATTTGTTGTGTTTCTGGGTCTCTGTAAAGAAAATTTCAGCCTGTGCCAAGGGTTTCTCCTATTCTTTCTTATAATGTTTTCAGGGTGTCTGCTTTGACTCTGAGGTCTTTGATCCATTTGGAGTTGATTCTGGTGCAGGATGATATATAAGGATCTAATTTTAGTTTTTTTTACAGGTGTTTAACCATTTGTGCCAGCACCAATTACTGAAGAGGCTGTCTTTCTTCTATCCTATTCTTTTTGGCTCCCTTATCAAAGATTAGGTGGGTATAGATCTGTGGGTTCATTTCTGGGTCTTCAGTTCTATTCCATTGGTATTTAGGTCTGTTCTTGTGCTAGTACCAAGCTGTTTTGATTACTATGGCTTTGTAGTAGAGTTTGAAGTTTGGTGTTGGTATTCCTCTAGGACTGTTCTTTCTGCTAAGGATTGTTTTTGCTATTCTGGGTCTTTTATTGTTTCATATACATTTTTTGCATTGCTTCTTCTATTTTATTGAAGAATGAGCTTGAGATATTGATGGGTATTGCATTGAATTTGTAGATAGCCTTTGGCAGTATTGCCATTTTCATGAGGTTAAGCCTACCAATCCAGGAGCCTGGGAGATTTTTTCCACTTCCTTAGTTCTGCTTTAATTTCCTTTTTCAGGTTTTTTAAAGTTTTCATCATAGTCATTCTTCACTTCTTTGGTTAAGGTAATTCCTAGGTATTTTCTTTTTACAAAGGTAGTTGCTTTCCTGCTTTTAGCCATGCTCTTCTTCTTATTGGCATACAGAAAAGCATTTGATTTTTTTTTTATTGTGAAAATACTGTACAGAGGGGTTATAATTACGGGCAAGATAATGAGTACATTTCTTATCAAGCATTTTAGCCTCCTCTTTTGTTTCCCCTTCTCATTCCTTCCTATCCTCCTTGCATTCCCCCACCCAATCCTCCTCCCATCCTGCCCCCCACCAAAGTTGTAAAGTTTGTTTTCAACATAACGACTTGTACATCTCATTGTTGCAATGGGTCCACCTGTATCCCTATTTAAACAAGTTGTTTTTTCCCTTCCCCTCCACAAATTATACCATCATCAAATACAGTGAAAGCAGAGGTTATACCGTGGGGGAGGGACATACAAAGCAACGAAGAAATCATCTTATAAATGTGTTAAAAACAATCCCATGAAAGAAAAAAACATTTGAATACATATCTTAGGGTTCATTTCCCTAACATCAACTTATCTGATTAACTTTGCTGCTTGAGGGGCTGGGAAGGTGGCTCAGTGGTAGAGCGCTTGCCTTGCATGCATGAGGCCCTGGGTTCGATTCCTCAGCACCACATAAGCAAAAAGAAAAAGCTGGAAGTGGCGCTGTGGCTCAAGTGGTAGAGGGCTAGCCTTGAGCTGAAGAGCTGAGGGACAGCGCCAAGGCCCAGAGTTCAGGCCCCACGACCGGACCCAAAAAAAAAAAAACAACAAAACTTTGCTGCTTGACTCAGACATATACTAGTTATTGCAAATAAGGGCAACCATGGAACCTATGTTGGGCCTGGCTTATTTCACTTAATACAATTTTTTCCAAGTCTTTCCATTTCCTAACAAATGGGCAATGTCATTCTTTCTGATGGAGGCATAGAATTCCATTGTGTATACATACCACATTTTCTCAATCCATTCATCTACTCAGGGGCATCTGGGTTGGTTCCATATCTTAGCTATGGTAAATAATGCTGCAATAAACATAGTTGTGATGGTAGCTTTAGTGTGGTCTTGTTTGTGAACATTTGGGTAAATGCCCAAAAGTGGGATTGCTGCGTCATAGGGGAGCTCTATGTGGAATCTTTTGAGGAAACTCCATACTACTTTCCAAAGTGGTTGAACAAGTTTACACTCCCGCCAACAATGCAGTAAGGTTCCCTTCTGTCCACATCCCCTCCAGCATCTGTTGTTATTAGAGTTCTTGATTATAGCCATTCTAACTGGGTTGAGGTGGTATCTCAATGTTGTTTTGCATTTCTTTTATGGTTGAGCATTTCTTCATGTGTCTATTGGCCATCCTTCTTTCCCCTTCAGAGAAGTTGCTCTTTAAGTCTTTAGCCCACTTATTTATTGGGCAATTGTTTTTTTGAAGATTTGTTGTTGAGGGATTTAATTTTTTTGAGTTCCAGGTATATTTTAGATATGAGACCCTTGTCTGTTGTATAGCTAGTGAAGATCTTCTCCCAATTCGTGGGCTTTCTATTGATCTTGCTAGCTATGTCCTTTGCCATGCAGAAGCTCTGCAATTTCATGCAATTCCATTTGTCCGACCTTTCTTTGATTTGTTGTGTTTCTGGGTCTCTTTTAAGAGAATTTCGGCCTGTGCCAAGGAGACCTAGGGTTTCTCCTATTCCGTCCTGTAATAATTGCAGTGTCTGCTTTGACTCTGAGGTCTTTGATCCATTTGGAGTTGATTCTGGTGCAGGGTGATATATAAGGATCTAGCTTTAGTTTTCTACAAGTAGTTAACCAATTTTGCCAGCACCATCTACTGAAGAGGCTGTCTTTCTTCCATTCTATTTTTTTTGCTCCCTTATTGAAGATTATATGGCTATAAGTCTGTAGGTTCATTCCTGAGGTCTGTTCTTGTGCTAGTACCAAGCTGTTTTGATTACTATGGAGAAAAGCCATCGATTTTTGAGGGTTAATTTTATACCCTGTTCCTTTGCTAAAGTTTCAGATCAGCTTGAGTAACTTAGGAGTGGAGTCTATGGGGT